ATGGAGGTTTGAGTCACACACATCTGATTCACTTTTGCATTTATGGTGTGAACGGCCCTTAAAGGTTCGTTCACACCAAGGCATCAAAGCGTCCAGTTTCTATGTAAAGTCGATGTGGACTCGTGACTAGAGCGTTCTGCGTTTTTGCAGCGCGTCTTTGGCGTCAGCGCGGTGCGAATCTGGCGTCGACGTGGCGAGTCTTGAGTGTTTTGGCGTCGACGCTCTAGACGCGCGTCCAAGGCGTCAGTGTCAAGAAGTTGAAAATGTTTAAACTTTTCGCGTCAGACGTGTCGCGTCAACCAATCAGGGACGAGTATCCAGTGACGCAGCGACGTAATTATCAGGAAGAAAAACCCGAGAACCAGAATGAGAACCACAAAAACATGAGCGGAGAATAAATATATACACCACAATCACCAAGCAGATCACGAGGACTACACCAGGACCGGACCAGGACTAAACCAGGACTAGACCAGGACTAGACCGGAACTAAACCAGGACTGATCCAGTGTCATTAGTGGAGTATAAATATATAAATACGCCCCAGTCGTCGACCCGATCTCCTTCACTGATGTTTTATGTCATACAAACACTAAAGTCTCTCAGTCTGGTCTGACATTGTTTCAGGAAAAGAGCGGGACCGGGCTCTTGTTTCCAGGGTAATGGATGGGGGCGTCTAAACTCAAATGCAAAGGTGTCCAAATAGAGGCGTCAAGGCGTTTTTTGAAGCTTTGGTGTGAACGGCCCTTTAGTTATCAATAAAACCAACAAACCCCGAAAAAAGACACAACAAACCAACAGAGGGCAGCAGGACCATAAGAACACAATCACACTACCGAACATCAGAGGAATAACTGAACCCATCCAGAGAGCCATGAAAAAAACACAACATGAGCACTGCAGTCAAACCACACACACAAAACTCCGCCAACAGCTCGTACACCCCAAGGACAAAATCCCACAAGAACAAAAATGCAACGCCATCTACGAAATCCAATGCAAATCATGCAATCAAAATAAAAAACAGGTCGGGCATTTCCACATTCGAAAAAAAGGAACACCAAAAGGAATGAGAAAAGGAAACAGGGAGACTCACCAGAACACAAAAAGACAAAGCAGAACAGGAAAACTTAAATTCACCATATCAGAACCACTGTAAAAAAAAAAAAGAAATAAGCACATTCTGGATCGGGACGGGGCTCGGGTCATTGGGTCGGAAAACAACAAGTTCAGACGCCAGGATCAAGGAGGACGGTGAAATCAGGAACCTGGGACACCCTCCTCCAGAGAACACCGGGCGACGGGAGGCGTGGTCAGTCTGAGCGACCTGCAGGTCCATCAGGTCCGACCACGCCCACAGGAAGTAACAACAGCTGATATACGACACGTTCAACACCAACACCAGGACAGTTCTGAAGATGCAGCAGCAGCCGAAACATGTCAAGAAGGTAAAATACTCTTTACTGCATTGTCTTTAAAAAGAACCCAAGTACATAAGAAGACAAAATGAACATCTTTGGCTTCCCTGTCTCCTGTGCTGAGAATTTCCACAATGTTTCATTTAATTTCATCAGACTGCATGTTTTGGACGCTGATATTTTTAAAATGCATTTAAAGTGAAGGGAAAGGACCACAATGTCTGCACTAGTCCTGTGTAAACCAGCATGTCCTGCGCGCGTAGATTTCAGAAAATAAAATCCAATCTACTTTTGACACTTTACGTGATTGTTGGACGCGTGTATCCTCATTAGAATAAATCGAAAGCGTTGGTTGTACAGAGGTTTCCCGTAAATGCTGACACGTGCAGTGTGTTTGTAGCCTGATTCGTCAGACGGTTTCACTTCGTAAGAAACCGTCTGACTTCGAAGAGTTGGAATTCGTTCGCTTGACGGTAGGATGGTACTATTTTTCATTTAACCAATCGCTGCTATTTGGTCATGACATATGTAATGCGGCGCTAACGGGGTTAACTGGTCTATTAAGCTTTTCCCAAATCCCATAAACCGTCTAGTGTAGGGTGACCATATTTCTGTTTGTGAAAACCCGGACACCTTGGGGAGGGGGGGGTTCACCTTTCGCAGGTCTCACCGTTTCTCAGATTTTATTTTTTATTTTTTTTTAGTGCAATTTTGCAAATGCTTTTTTTTTTTTTTTTTTTTTACAGCGTATGAACGTGTATTGTTGTATTACAGGCGGGTAGTAATTACACACAGGTGAGTCCTGTTTCAGTTCTGGTTTAGTCCTGGTTTAGTCCTGTTTCAGTCCTAGTTCAGTCGTGGATTAGTCCTCCTCTTCAGTCCTGGGTTAGTCCTGGTTTAGTCCTGGTTCAGTCGTGGATTAGTCCTCCTCTTCAGTCCTGGAATCAGTCCTGGGTTAGTCCTGGTTTAGTCTTGGTTCAGTCCATGTGGCGTAGGCAGCGCAAAAGTTTTGATATAATCTCGGGTTAACGGGCAGGTGCGGTCCTGTCCTGGCGGGTGCGGTCTTGTTGTACTGGGGGTCTCCAAAAATGGACCCGTGCAGGACTCTGCGCTGTCGGCTCCATTATGGAAATAAATGAATCTTCCAGTTCGTTACATAAAGAAGGAGGAAAATAACAAAAGGACGACAGCAGCAACAAGTTTAAAGAAGGAAGTAAAAAGGGTTGCACCTGTCGATCCTGTCTGAGAAAAGTGTATAAAGTTTGTGCTGAGGTTTTACAGCCTTAAAACAGACAGAATAATTGTAAAATATAAAGTTGATACTTTGCGGATTTCACCTGTCGCAGGTTATTTTTAGAACATAACTCCCACGATAAACGAGGGACACTGTCCTCTCACCTCAACCTGTGCACATGGACTCACACTTGTCCCCGGGATGGAAAAAGTGAATTTCTTGTACAAGTCGTTGTTAAATGTGTATTTGTGCTTCGGTATGTTGCAGACTGACCGACTGTTTGTGTCTCGCTCCTTCTGAGTCACAGACGCTACGAGAGACGCTCAGTTTAATGCTTCCCCAGTGAACGGTACTGAAAACCCAGATATTTGCATCACTTTATAAAAAAAACAAAAAAAACCCAGACGCCCGGACAGGACACAAAATACGGACATGTCCGGGGAAAAACGGACGTTTGGTCACCCCAGTCTAGTGTATTCTGATTCCTGACCTAGTTGCTGGAGAGAAATGAAATTGAGTGGAGTGGAGACACTAGGTGGAGCCAACGTGGCTAGTGTGTTTGAGGCCCAAGGGTAGACCTGACCACAGACTGGGGAGCGTCTATGATTCGACTTGATCTCAAGCCAGTACCCGCTTCTCTTTCTATGAAGTGTAGAGCTTAACCGGGCAAAATTCACACCGTATTCCATGGGGGTCAGCCCTATGTTCCTTTATTTCTAAGATTTTTTTTCTCAAAATGAAACTCTAAGTCAAGTCATTTTTATTTTTTTACTGCATTTAAAGGGATGATTTAAAATAATTTCAACCTAGGGTCCTTCGCACCATGACCTCTGCATTACATCTGTAGTCAACTGCTGCTGGAGAATAGATCCTTTCACCTTTTTACTTTTCTTTGGTCTTCAGGGTTCACATGTAATGGTGGCATTAACTTCTTTTTTTTTATTATTATTATTTAATGAAATGTTTTTGACCTCACTGACCAAACAATGACCATGTTTAGAAAAAGTTTCTGTTAATTATTATGTGCAGCGTAAGAGTAGAGACTGCCCACATACCTGAGGTCACATGACTCCAGGTGGAACAGGTCCAACAGGTGTGAAAGTGAAACTATTTAGAGACGACACTGACGCAGTGAGTATATCTGAATATTTTTCACATGAAATCAAACATAACATTTGGTTTAATATCTTATTGGTAATTAGTTAATACTTCTAAATTCCGTGTTTTTAATGTACACACTCAAAAGTAGCTGCACATATTCTGTAAAGGTCCACTAAGGGACTTTTCAGGAGGAAGAGAAGCCAAACTCTGACTATTGCTTAAGCTTCATGTCTGTGTTTTTTATTTTTAAAAATACCTTTAGAACATGTAATCGTACTGTAGGAGCGCTCGCCTCCACACAAATGCGACCCATAACTTGGCTTGGTACCTACACTGTGGAAAACTGTGGAGAGAAGCAGGTGGCAAACCCTCCACCAGAAAAACTGTATAATGCATCTCTGAGTATTTGCTTTGTAGTATCGTCCGAGTTCATTTTGTTTTGTTTGTTGTTTGTTTGTTTTTGTTTTGTATGTTAATCCTGGTTTAATCCTGATTTAAACCATTAACAAAATAGATGGAAAAAAAAAAAAAGTGTCCTAAATATTGTGTGCTGCATAAGAGTAGAAATATGTGACCTTTTGCACGTATCTGAGGTCACATGACTCCAGGTGGAACAGGTCCAACAGGAGACGACACTGACGCAGAGAGTATATATCTGAATATTTTTCACAACAAATCAAACATAACTTTTGGTTTAATATCTTATTGGTCTTTAGTTAATAATTATAAATTCCATGTATTTAATTTACACACTCAAAAGTCTTTTATGTAAAGGTGCACTAAGGAACTTTTCAGGAGGAGGATAAGCACTGGTCTCCCTAGAGATGATATTACTTTTATTACTAAAATACCTTTAGAACATACAGTTGTACTATAGGAGAGCTCGCCTCTCCACAAATGTTACCTGTAACTTCGTCTGGTAGCCACAGGAAACAAGCAGAAAAGAGATTTGAGTGTCATCAGCCTGTGACCAGCAGAGGGAGACAAAGACAGATCAGGTCTCTAGATGCAGCGTCTCTGTATGTTCTGTTCAAATTATTAGATTAGATTAGAAAACTTTATATATCCCCAAGGGGCAATTCTGTTTGCAGTCACAGACTACAGCATAAGAAACACACAGACATTCGACACAGGTCTGGTGTTTGTACAGGTGGGCATCAGAGCTGAGCATTAGTGTAAATGAGCCATAAGGTGCAAAGGGCTGATACAAAACAGAACAACTTTAAAAAAACAACTTCTGATTTCAGCACCTACAACATGGACCCACCTGGACCTGGCCCCGGGTCTAAACCCAGACCTGAACCTGCTCCCAGCTCTGTGTCTCTGAAAAGTGATAAGTCCAAACACTATCCTCCAGACTTTAAAGAAGCTCCTCCTGAAGACCAGAGGTAAGACTTTTGAGAGGTCAGACAAGTTGGAATTAAAACCTAAACTCCACAGTCCAAATGTGGACCTAAATGCAAAACTGTGGACAAAATTAGAAAAAGTTGTGTTAAACATTACGAGCAGCATAAGAGTACAGTACAGGTAGAACAGGTCCGAAGGTGACAGAAAGGAACTATTTAGAGAGTATTTTTCACATGAAATCAAACATAAGTGTAGGTTTAATACTGTATCTTATTGATCATCATGGTCTTTAATAATTCCACACATTTAACATACCCAAGTGGCTCCTCATATTCTCTTAAAGCACACTGAGTAACTTATCAGTAGAAGCCCAAATAAGGCCAAATGCTTGTCTCCTTAGAGATGATAGTGTTTAAAATTATGAAAAAAAATGCTGTTCATCTTGATTTAAACCATTAAAGATGCAATTTCAGTGTAACAATACCATATGACCAACAGAGGGAGACACAGACAGATCAGACTCTGGGTGCAGCAGGAGACATCTCTGTATGTTCTGTTCAAATGGACTCTTCTTCTGATTCCAGCTCCTACAACATGGACCCACCTGGACCTGGACCCGGGTCTAAACCCAGACCTGAACCTGCTCCCAGCTGTGTGTCTGTGAAAAGTGACCGCTCCAAAAATTATCCTCCAGACTTTGAAGAAGCTCCTCCTGAAGACCAGAGGTAAGAACTTAATCCAGAGCCCTGGACAGGAATCAGGATCACAGGGTCTTCTACAGATTGTACAAAGGTCTCATAGAATCGACTGTTCTGAAACAGTACTGCCCTGAACAGAGTGAAACAACTAAAGTCCAGTATATTATGTATTTTATTTATTTAAAAGGCTCTTTCTGAAACACTCTTTCTGAACCAACAGTAACCATAGTCTTAAAGACCTCAGCAGATCTGAGGCTAAGCTCATTCTCCATCAGACCTGATGGGTCTAAATGGGCCCAAAGGCAGCAGGTCCCTCCTTCAAGCTGTTCACTGTCTTTGTGTGAACCTCCTTGTGTCCAGCCCCACTGTGGTGCAAATATAAGAAGGACACACTGCAAAAGCTCAAAGTATCTTCTAATGATGTTCCTCAGAATGCTGCTGAAAAAGTCCAGGGTCAGTAGTTCCAGTCTCCTGTTCTGTCAGGCTCATGTGAACTTTTCAGACTCTCATGACAAACCTGGTGTATAAATCCATCTGTGGCCTAAATGAGTCTGTGAACTCTGTGGTGGTGATGCTGGTGAGTGTCAGGTTTAGTTCTGTGCAGTAACACTGCTCTTTATGGAAACACTGATCTGTCTTTTATAACCCTGTTTTACTCTTGTCTCTGTCTTATTCTGTTCTTTTATGGACCATGAGTCTGGAATAAATAAATGATGATGAGTTTATTGTTTGACAGGGAGCCAGGCCCAAAGGAGCAGCTGGACGCCATATTCAGGGTGAGTACCCCACGAGCGCAGCATGTGTGGGGTTCTCTGGGTGCTCCTCAGGTGCTCTCTTTGACTAAAACTCTTCTCTTATTGTTCTGTTCCAGCGTCTGGAGGAGGACGTCCTGACTTTTGTCAAAGAGCAGCTGCAGAGGCTCCACAGGCTCCTGGCCTCAGATTACCCAGAATGCTCTGAGAGTGAGGAGGAGGAGCAGAGCAGCAGAGAGGTTCTGAACATCACCCTGGACTTCCTGAGGAGGATGGACCAGGAGCAGCTGGCCCAGCACCTGCAGAACAGTAAGAACTCTGTTACTGTCCATCTGAGGAACAGACCACACCAGACTTGACTTCACAGTAACAAAAGTCTACAGGTGTTTGAGGCTCACAGAAAGTACTATGACCCGTACATTAGGAGGGAGTTTTATCCACCTGAGGAATAGCTAAAAGCTTTGTGTTTTGAGTCACTAAATGTATGAAATATGTAAATAATGAAGAAATAATGTACCATAATATAGGATTACCAATGTGTACATCTCACAAACTGCCATTCACCTCTAACATTATCTTAGTCCAGCTTCTTACCTCAGCCTGTATATGTTCCATTATAACTTTGAGTTTAAAAACTGGAATCCCTTTTTTTAGTGCAACATGGGTCATTGATGACGCAACGTGGGCCTGGAAGTGACATCACACTTAACAATCATAAAATTTCTTTACTTTAAACTTAAAATAGCTAATGTACTCTATGACATTCTTGTGAAGAAGTTTTCACAAACCAGAAGGATCTTGAGTTGACAGTTGTATGTGTTTTTATTCAGAAAACACTGTTGGAGTTTGTAGAGATGAACTGAAGAGGCATCTGCAGCAGAGGTTCAGTCGTGTGTTTGACGGTGTGGCTAAAGCAGGAGACTCCGCCCTTCTGACCCAGATCTACACAGACCTCTACATCACAGAGGGCGGAGCCTCAGAGGTCAATCAGGAACATGAGGTCAGACTCCTGGAAACCACATTCAAGAGACCGACCGCTCCAGAGACCGCAATCACACGTGAAGAGCTCTTTAAAGCTCATCCCACATTCACCAGAGCCAATCAGATTTGTGCTGACGAAGGGCGTGGCCGGCGTGGGGAAAACAGTGCTGACTCAGAAGTTCAGTCTGGACTGGGCTGAAGGCCGGGCCCACCAGGACCTCCAGCTGCTGTTCCCGTTCACTTTCAGAGAGCTCAATGTGCTCAGAGACACACAGTTCAGCCTGGTGGAGCTGCTGCACCACTTCTTCAGTCCATCCAAACATCTCTGCAGCTTCCAACAGCTCCAGGTGCTCTTCATCTTTGACGGTCTGGACGAGTGCAGACTTCCTCTGGACTTCAGCCGAACCCGAGTCCTGACCGACCCCACAGAGTCCACCTCAGTGCACGTGCTGCTGGTGAACCTCATCAGGGGAAACCTGCTTCCCTCCGCTCTCCTCTGGATAACCACGCGCCCCGCTGCGGCCAATCAGATCCCTGCTGAGTGCGTCTCCATGGTGACGGAGGTGCGAGGGTTTGGCGACCCGCAGAAGGAGCAGTACTTCAGGAAGAGGTTCAGAGACCAGGCCACAGCCGTCATCTCCCACATCAAGAGCATCCGCAGTCTCCACATCATGAGCCACATCCCGATCTTCTGCTGGATCATCTCCACAGTTCTACAGAAACTTCTGGAACAAACAGAACCAGAGCTGCCCCGGACTCTCACACAGATGTACGTCCACTTCCTGGTGGTGCAGGCCAAAGTCCAGAACATCAAGTATCACCAGGGATCAGGGGAGGACCTTCACTGGACTTCAGAGACCAGGAAGATGGTGAAGTCTCTGGGAAAACTGGCCTTTGAGCAGCTGCAGAAAGGAAACCTGATCTTCTACGAGAGTGACCTGAGCGAGTGTGGGCTGGACGCTGCAGCGGCCTCAGTGTACTCCGGAGTGTTCACACAGATCTTTAGAGAGGAGCCAGGCCTGTACCAGGACAAGGTCTACTGCTTCATCCATCTGAGTGTGCAGGAGTTTCTGGCTGCTCTTCACGTCCATCAGACCTTCATCAACTCTGGAGTCAATCTGCTGGAGACACCACACTCCTCTGAGATTCTTATTTCAAAAAGAAAAAAAGGTTCCAAGAAAACAAAGAAACATTTCAAATTGACAATGAAGACAAAAAAGTATGTGGCAGGTTTCTACTGCTCTGCTGTGGACCAGGCCTTACAGAGTCCAAACGGACACCTGGACCTGTTCCTGCGCGCTTCCTCCTGGGACTGTCTCTGCCGACCAATCAGAGGCTGCTGCAGGGTCTGCTGACTCAAACAGGAAGTGAAGAGACCAATCAGGAGACAGTAAAGTACATCAAACAGAAGCTGAATGAAAAGGGTCTGTCTGCAGAGAGAAGTCTGAACCTGCTCCACTGTCTGAACGAACTGAACGACCAAAGTCTGTTGAAGCAGATACAGAGATACGTGAGAGAAGGAGAGCTCTCCAGGTTAAGGTCTCCTGCTGAGTGGTCGACTTTGTCCTTCCTCTTACTGTCCTCAGACTCAGACCTGGAGGAGTTTGATCTGAGGAAATACCAGCGCTCAGAGACAGCTCTCCTGAATCTGCTGCCGGTGGTCAGAGCCTCCACCAAAGTCCTGTGAGTCTCCTTTGTCATGATTCTAGTCTCTAATATCACTCTCTTTCCTCAGACTGTATAACTCTTAAATTAGATTTTGCTTCACAGATTTTAAAATAAATAAAGTAAGTAAGTGTCAAAGAATAAGCACAACAGTACAGATAACAGCTCATCAGTAATGATTTTTTTTTTTCTTTAAGTAAAAATCATCACATAGGAGGTGCTTTTGATTTTGATTTTATTCGGATCCCCATTAGTTGATGTCCGTGACACCAGCTACATGATTGCAAATTAAATTCATGTGTGGAGCCTACATGAGGGCTTTTAACAGATTAGAGGAGCGAGCTGGCCCAAATACTACAGACATGAATAATATTCTAGATCAGGGGTCGGCAACCCAAAATGTTCAAAGAGCCATATTGGCCCAAAAAAACTAAAACCAAACCTGCCTGGAGCCGCAAAAAATTAAAAGTCTTATATAAGCCTAATATGAAGGCAACACAGGCTGTCAGTATATTAGCTTTATAACCCTACTATTAAAATGACTATGTAGGCTACAAATACAAAATGAGCATCATGATACACAAACCCCTTTTGCAACCCTCTCATACTGAACTGAACAGCCACTGAACTCGGGTGGTTAGTGTTTATTCCTTTGTCATTTAGGCCCCGTTTACACGTACACGGGTATTTTTAAAAACGGAGACATTTCCCTTCGTTTGTTCACATCGTTTACACGCAAACGGTGAATTCGCCTCTGAAAACAAATCTTTCTAAAAACTCCGGCTAGAGTGGAGATTTTGGAAAACTCCGGTTTCACATTTGCATGTAAACTGAGATAAACGGAGAGTTTTAGGAGCTGACGCTGAAAGTGCGACCAACGTTTACCTGTTGCTTTGACGACAATGATTATTCAGAGCAGCAGTCGCATTTCTTCTGATCGTGCATAGGAGCACTCATAAAACAGCAGCATGTAGAACTTTGTACGCAACATCAGCCCGGAGCAGAAGCTCTGAGCTCGGGCAGCAGCGCCAAACACACGGGAACAGTCAGAGCAGCTCCTCAAGACGGGGCTGGTGGTCCAGTGTTGGTCAGATGGTCCGGAGGCTTCGTCCTCCATGTCCTGGTTCCAGACGGGGGCGAGCAAGACCAGCGAGCAAAGGACTGGGTCCGAGTGCTTCAGTGCTTCATCTGTGCGCTGGTTCCGTGCGGGAAAAGTGAGAATGTGCTGTGGACCACAGGTCCGGGCTGCTCCGGTCCTCTGCACTCGACCGCGGCTGGTTCTGAGTTGGTGCAGCATCCGGACAGAAGCGTGAATCCTGAGCGTCCGTCTGCGCATGTGTTTTTTTGTTTGTTTATTTTTTTCAGGGAAAGCGCTTCTCAGGTGGAGGCACCGGACACCACCCCCGCTTCAGCTCATCTGTTCGTTCTGCTGAAACAGTTTTCATGTGTTGCATTTGCACACAGCTGAGATGAACGAGGGTTTTACCCCTAAAGAAACCATATTAAAACAACAACAACAAAAATCATTCCTTTTCCATTTTCACTCATTTTTGAAAAAGCTCCAGGGAGCCACTAGGGGTGTGCTAAAGAGCCGCATGCGGCTCTGGAGCCGCGGGTTGCCGACCCCTGTTCTAGAGCATTCATAAAAAAAGGAAACAAAATGGAGAAAATTATGTGCAAGAGGGCATTTAGAGTTTAAATACAATTCACCCAGAGCACAATGCTTCTTGTGCGTAAAACTCTGTGACGAACTGCACCCTCGAGACCGAGGCCTTCAGACAGCCGTATTTCCAAATATATAACTAATGTTATAGTTGGGGCCTGGTGCAACTGTAACCTTGGTTGGCCGATATATCAGTAGATTTGGTAACAATTATCTCAGGGGGTGGGACATCAAAAATGATTCAACATTTTGACACAAGTCTTATGGTCTCTGAACAGTGAAGCAACAAAACTTGCCCAAAATTTCAGTAATTTTAAATTACTCCCATTTGCACATATGGCTCTAATTTCAGTGAAATTTGAATCAGTTGTTAAAATTCTCGCTCTTAAGCTATTTAATGTGAAAATAAATAAATAAATACATAATAATAATAATAATAATAATAATAATAATATGAACAGATTGGTATGAGAAAATACAAAACTGAATGCAGTAGCGCCCCATAGAAGTTTTGTAGAGAATGATAATGATTTATTTGTCGCAGACATACAAAATTTGGTGGGGATGACTCATAATACTCCGCTCATATTTCACATGTTTCAAGATAAGCACATGGGATCAAAGCAGAAAAGAGGCCATATTCTAAATGCACACGCGACACTTTCAGATAGACTATTCAAATGCTTTGTGTAGCCAAATGAAGAGTCAGTTAGCAGAGAATGTTTTACAAGACTTGGGTAGGGAGGGGGAGATGGGACAAATCCACAGAGAGGACGAAGCCTGGAGGGGGTGAGGTGCAAGGAGGGAGAACAGGTGAAGGAGGGAAAGAGCACACAGAGCAGTGGTCAAAGCCGAGGTCCTAAACCTGAGACAATATTTGACATGAGGGGACAGAGACCTGCTGTTCAACTTCTACTTTGCTCTTGTAGAGATTAATCCTGAATTGGCGCTGGACGTTTGTTGCTGAAAACATGTCCACCACGCTTAATGTGCACACATTTCCTGAAATGTCTCGCGCCCCACACTTTGAGAAGCTCTGTTCTAGTCTCTAATGTCCCTCTCTGTCCTCAGTCTTTGTGGCTGTGGTCTGTCTCCTCACAGCTGTGCTCCTCTGGCCTCAGTCCTCAGCTCCTCCAGTCTCACACATCTGGATCTCACTAACAACGACCTCCAGGACTCAGGAGTGGAGCTGCTGTGTTCTGGACTGAAGAGCGCCCCCTGCAGACTGGAGACTCTCAGGTGAGACGCTCCCATGATGCACTCTGCCCCCTTGTGTCCACATGAGTGTAATTCTGTGTCTTTAGGCTGTCTGGATGTCTGGTCTCAGAGAGGGGCGGGGCTGCTCTGGCCTCAGCTCTGAGCTCCGCCTCCTCCCACCTGAGAGAGTTAGACCTCAGCTACAACCATCCAGGACCCTCAGCAGAGCTCCTGACCGCTCTACGGGACGACCCCCACTGCCCCCTGCAGTCTCTCAGGTGAGGGTCCTGGTTCAGTGGGTCTCTGGTCCATGGTCGGTCCAGATCCTGGTCTCTGGTCTGGTCTAAACTGGACTTGTGTGTTTCAGGTTGGATCCTGCTGGAGAACAGTGGATGGTCCCAGGTCTGAGGAAGTGTGAGTCTCTGTATTTCATTCAGTTCATGGGAACATTAACATTATGTCACTTTATCAGACTTTAAATCTTCACAGTTACAGAGGAAACATTCATGTGATTTGAGCTAAAAATACATACACGAGATGTACGAGACTTGAGACATGATTGTTATTTTTTACAATGGATTATTACAGCTCACAATATAGTTATAATAAAACAAAGAACATCTCATGTTTGTGTCCTCAGATTCCATTATTCCAACATTAATGTGATTTGAGCTAAAAATATGTCTAGAGACATTTACACATTTAAAATATAAATTAAATAGAAAAACTTTTCAGATTCTCAGGAACAGGAAGTGATGTCATGTGTTTGTGTCCTCAGATTCCTGTGAGTTTTCTCTGGATCCAAACACAGCTCACAGAAACATCAAACTGTCTGAGGACAAACGGACAGTGACCTGTGTGACAAAGGAGCAGCAGTATCCAGATCATGAGGACAGATTTACAGACTATCGTCAGGTCCTGAGCTGCACTGGCCTGAGGGGGCGCTGTTACTGGGAGGTTCAGTGGGGCGGAGCGATGGTTGATGTAGTAGTGAGTTACAGAGGAATCAGACGGAGAGGACCAAATAAGGAGTGTTGGTTTGGAGGCAACGATCAGTCCTGGAATCTGAGGATCCATGAGGGGAATTACTATTTATATCACAACAACAGACAAACCCACCTCTCCTCCTCCTCCTCCGCCGTCCCCCGTTTCTCAGGTCGAGTGTCTGTGTTCCTGGACTCTGAGGCTGGATCTCTGTCCTTCTATGAGGTTCTCTCTGATGGAAAACTGTTCCACCTCCACACCTCCAGCTCCTCCTTCACTGAGCCTCTGTTTCCTGGGTTTTCAGTGTGGAGAAATGGTTCCTCTGTCTGTGTTGGATCTGAGGAGAACACTTCTCTGACTCTAATGATATAAACAGTTCAGTTTTTCTTCATTCTTTTGTACAGAGAGAAAATTAACTGAGCCAAGCCGTGTTTTTTAAATAATACTGATATAAAAACATTTGATACTTTTTTGACATCACACCTGCGACTCTCCAAAGCTGAGAAGTCAAGAAAAAATGTTTTACAAAGACAAATCTATTTGCACACAATTTTAGTGAAATTTAAAATCTCTGAATAAGCAGCAAACAAACACAAGTTGTAATATGTTGACCTGGAGTTTGTAATTAAATTCTATTACCGTTCTTATAAAAATATTTGTGTGTCATAGCACATAGCAATTTTATTTGGTGTTGTTTTAGCTCCTTATAATCCTTTAAGCATGGTTTATCTTATTGTTCCCATGTTTTTAACTTCTCCTCCAGCTTTTTACCTCAGCTTCTTTGATTTTTAACTCTTTTCTCAAACCAATAATATGATCTTAGACTCTGCTGCACCTTCAGCTAAAAAGAATAAGCAGACAAAATTAGTACAAATGGAAAAACTTCAAGGTTGGTGAAAAATGTTGTAATTTAAAGTCCCCAAGAAAAAATATTGAAAAATGACTCTGCAGCGCCCCCTTCAACTTTTGAATGGGATCCAAAAAATGTGTTTGCCCCTGTCGCAGTCCGAGGCAGGTCCCTGTCAGCTGTTCCAAAGTCGAGGCTCTGGACGAACAGTGATCAAGCCTTTTTGTTGTATTGACCTGCTGAGGATCTTTTATGTCACTTCTAAAAATTAATTTTAACGATTAGCCTTTTTTGAAAATCTGGATTTAACTTGATTTTATTATTTATTTTCATTAAATACATGTATTTATTATTATTATTAATTGAATTGTTTGATCATATTTGAATTATTCTGTTAACAGCGCTCTGCTTCAGTCTCTTTTTGTATACTTCCTGCATGTTATTGTGTTTTTGTATTATTGTTGTATGCTGAGCGCACAGCACTTTGTAAACGTCATTTTTAAAAGTGTTCTATAAAATAAGAGTTATATTGTACTGTTATTGTTACAACACTGAAATTTCCCCACTATGGGACATACTGAGGTTTTGTTATATTTGTTTTTACCTGTAATCATGTTAATCTACGTTCCTCCTATGGAAAATATAACCAATGCACAGACTCAGTAAAACTCATAGTAAACAGAATTATAAAGCAGAAATTACCTCTATAAATTCAGCTAAAATTTGCCTTAACAGCTCCGTTTCGAATTGTATTTCTGATTATGTTATAAATAAACTGGATTAGTGTTCAGATAAAGTTGAAGTACTTGTGTGTAAATAACAGGACATACCGCCTTAGCTTTAGTTTGTATACTAGTATAAACAAGAACTCCAAAATAATAATAATTGAAAATGTTTGTGGTTTTTCGTCCTGGTCGTGGAACACTGGACCAGCTCTACACTCTCCATCGGGTGCTCGAGGGTTCATGGGAGTTTGCCCAACCAGTCCACATGTGTTTTGTGGATCTGGAGAAGGCATTCGACCGTGTCCCATGTGGTGTCCTGTGGGGGGCGCTCTGGGAGTATGGGGTCCGGTCCCTGTATGACCGGAGCAGGAGCTGTGTTCGCATTGCCGGCAGTAAGTCAGACCTGTTCCTGGTGCATGTTGGACTCCGCCAGGGCTGCCCTTTGTCACCGGTTCTGTTCATTGTGTTTATGGACAGAGTTTCTAGTCGCAGTCAGGGGTCGGAGGGGGTCCGGTTTGGGGACCACAGGATCATCTCTGCTGTTTGCAGATGATGTTGTCCTGATGACTTCATCAGGTTTGCAGCCGAGTGTGAAGCGTCTGGGATGAAGATCAGCTCTTCCAAATCTGAGGCCATGAATCTCGACTGGAAAAAGGTGGCTTGCCCTCTCCGGGTGGGTGGAGAGTCTTTGCCTCAAGTGGAGGAGTTCAAGTATCTCAGGGTCTTGTTCACGAGTGAGGGGAGGACGGAGCGTGAGATTGACAGGCGGATCGGTGCAGCATTGGCACTGATGCGGTCGCTGTATCGGACAGTTGTGGTGAAGAGGAGCTGAGCCCAAAGGCGAAGCTCTCGATTTACCATCAATCTTCCTTCCTCCCCTCACCTCTGGTCTTGAGCTCTGGGTAAATACAAAAAGGATGAGACCACAAATACGAGTGGTCGAAATGAGTTTCCTCCGCAGGGTGGCTGGGCGCTGCCTTAGACATAGGATGAGGAGCTTGGTCACAAGGGAGGAGCTCGGGGTAGAGCCACTGCTCCTCCATGTGGAGAGGAGCGGCTGAGGGGAGGACATTTGTTCTGATGTCCCCTGGACGTCTCCCTCAGGAGGTGTTCATGTCCCACCGGGAGGAGGCCCCGGGGAAGACTCAGGACACGCTGGAGGGACTATGTCTCTCAGCTGGCCTGGGAACACCTCGGGGTCCCCCAGAAGGAGCTGGAGGACATGTTTGGGGTTAAGGAAGATGAGTCCCTGCTTAGACTGTTGCCCCAGCGACCCGGCCCTGGAAGAAGTGGAAGAAAATGGATGGATGGACGGAAAATGTTTGTTCTGTTACAGAAGCAGAGTTTCCAGGACTTGGTGTTTCTTCTGTTTTGAGTCCCTGATCTTGGTGATGCTCTGGGAGGTGAATCCAAAGGAAAACAGCATCTCAGCTTTCACACTGGACACTGGCTGTTTCCTCACCTCCTACTTGTGTCGTCATTGCATTGTCCACTGTGGTGACCTGGCTCACACTGACTTGGTTTGTGTGTCACTGTGAATTGACTTGAGTGAATCTACAGACAGTACCTACAGAAATAACAAAAAATCCACAACTGTTTTCCCCGATCATTTCTATTAGTGACAAGGTTCATTCTCCTTCTGTTTATCTAACCACACCACACCTGCAGATTAATTACAGGCTTTTGATCTGCCCCATATTTGAGCGGTCACATGACTCCAGGTGGAACAGGTTCGACAGGTGAGAATCTGAATGTATTTAGAGATGAGACGGCGCTGATGCAGTAAGTGTATTTGATAATTCTGCTCATAAACATAAATTCGGGGTTGAATTACTTATTAATAATTATGGTAACTACTGGTATTTATTTAATACTTATAAATTTAACTTCTTAAATTTTTGAAAATAGTCATATTTCTTAAAGATGCACTATGTTTCTGTTATGGAGGACGGTGTGGCAACTTGTTGTCACTTGAAAGGTGAGATTTTTTTTTTGTCGCAGCAACATCCTTATCTTGTATTTATTCAGTAACAGGGGCTTTTGTTACTTTAAAAAAATACCTCAATCTGTTTAAGTTTTTCTTGGTTGCACTTTAAGTTTTTATTTTATTTTTTAATTTATTATTGCCGTTCATATTTTTTACTCTTTGATATTATGATAAGTGAGCTACTGTGTCCCAATAATTTCTCTTGTGGATCAATAAAGTTTGTCTAAGTCTATTATTATCATCAGAAAAGTTACAAAATGCACCTTTAACAATTTGCATAGAAGTAATTCAGTTCCAACTGTATTATAGCCCTAGTTTAATTCTAAACTAAACAAAAGTAGTAGTAGCAGTAAATGAAAAGTACAGTTAAGTGTAATATCAACAGAAAGCAAGCAGAGGGAGAGGGGACAGACCAGACTCTGAGTGTAACAGGAGACATCTCTGTATATTCTGTTCAAACTGACTCTTCTTCTGATTCCAGCATCTACAACATGGACCCACCTGGACCTGACTGTGGGTCTAGACCCAGACTTAAACCTGCTCCCAGCTCTCGGTCTCTGAAACATGATGATTCCAAAGACGTTCCTCCAAACTTTAGAGAAGATCCTCCTGAAGACCAGAGGTAAAATCTTCTTAATCAGTGAAATGTGTGTAGCTTCAGACCCTACTCTTTTATTTTGTCAACTGGCACATATTAAATGTGAAAGAAATATTTAGTTGTATTTAAAAAGGGAAAAAATCCAGTAACTATCGATTCAAAGAAAGTGTGATAACTTTTGTGGCCACATCGCCCAGTCCTGAACAAACACAACCATTCCAATAAATAACACTAATCTTCCTGAGGCTACAACGTACAGCTCAGACATCCAAGTGAAGGGCAGAGCTAGTCCTGTGTGTGTGTGTGTGTGTGTGTGTGTGTGTGTGTGTGTGTGTGTGTGTGTGTGTGTGTGTGTGTGTGTGTGTGTGTGTGTGTGTGTGTGTGTGTGTGTGTGTGTGTGTGTGTGTGTGTGTGTCTGTGTGTGTGTGTGTGTCTGTCTGTGTGTGTGTCTCTGTGTGTGTGTGTCTCTATGTGTGTGTGTGTGTCTGTGTGTGTCTCTGTGTGTGTGTCTCTGTGTGTGTGTGTGTGTGTGTGTGTGTCTGTGTGTCTGTGTGTGTGTCTGTGTGTGTGCGTCTCTGCGTGTGTGTGTGCGTGTGTGTCTCTATGTGTGTGCGTGTGTGTCTCTGTGTGTGTGTCTGTGCGTCTCTGTGTGCGTGTGTGTGTGCGTGTGTGTCTCTGTGTGTGTGCGTCTGTGTCTGTGTGCGTCTCTGTGTGTGTGTGTGCGTGTGTGTCTCTGTGTGTGTGTGTGTGTGTGTGTGTGTGTGTGTGTGTGTTTGTGTGTGTGTGCCAGATTCACAGCCTGGCTTTTGTCAATTCGTCCCAGGGCAGTTGTGGCACAGCACAAAATTATAAAATAAATTTACCCTCTCAGGCTCAAATTAATTTTTGTATCAGGAAAAATCTGATATTTGGGGAAAATTATCATATGGGGTAGTAATATACAATCCTGACTTTTTTATCCTTTGTGAACAAAAAAAGTATTTTGCACTTCTGGCAGGTCGTTTGTGTGTAGTCGTTCTTGCACAGTCTGCATCGCCCACGTTTATCAGCATGGATGGGAGAAAAGGCTCCTGAGTAAAAAAAAAAAAAGCTCATAAAATATGGATTTGGAGTCAGTAGGTAATTGGCATTTAGCTGTTGCAAATCTGCAGCGTCTGCCTGGAGAGGGATAAGCATCTGGACTATGTAAGATTGAAGCATTATAATTGTCTATACTTGGACCTATTTTATTTTCATTAAACATTAATGATCTGGCGAATGTTTGTACAGAATTTAATATTGTGTTGTACACTGATGATGCCGTCATTTTTACAAAAGCAAAATCTGTCATAGAAGTTAACATCAGCAATCACCTGTGGAGATAAGTGTCTGACCAAATCCAGTCTCTTACTGAACACTAAAAAAACTGTTTACAGGCTATTTTCGAAACGTCCATCAAATTCTTATTTAAATGTGCAGCTGAGGGGTGAGGGACTCCAGTTTGTAGATGAATTTAAGTATCTTGGTGTTACCTTGGACTCCACTTTAACTTTTAAAAAACATGTAAAAAACATATCAAAAATTGTTAATTTTAATATTCACAATTTTAGGCAAATTAGATCATCATTGCCAGAAAATGCAGCTAACATGTTTCTCCACAGCATGATTCTCTCTCACAGTGAACACTGCATTACTAACTGGTCACTGACAAGCATGACAACCTTAAAAATAATAGAATCACTTTTTTTAAAAGCGTTAAAGATATTTGACAGGAAATCTTTATCTTTTCATCATTGTCTCATACTACAGAAGTATAATATCTTAAGTTTTGGAAATTTTCAAAACTTTAAACTCACCTGCTCAGTATATAAGGTCTTAAATGGACTCGCTCCACCTCCTCTGGGTGAGTTCATTAAGCATAAGTCCAGCACTAGTGGTCGGGGAACAAGAGTCTCTACCAGAGGCGACTGTGCAAAACCCTATAGACGCACAACTTTCAGTCAGCAGGTCTGATCAGTCAAGGAACAGAAATCTGGAACAACATCCCAGCGGCAATAAGAGACTCCACCACATTCAGTTCATTTAAAACTAATCGGAAACAACGGCTTAAGAGAAACCAGATCTGTAACCACTAATGTTCTGCTCCTATGTAAATGTCAGTGTTGTATGTCATGATTGTGTGTTTGTCTATTGTGACACGTTTTATGTTCTTATGTTTTATGTCTCTGTCTCTCTGAGCTGCCAGGGACTACAGATGAAAAGTACCGTCGGGCTAATTCTGGTGTATTTACAAGTGTATGTTTATGAATATCCATTGTCCCTTTTAAATAAATAAAACCAAAAAAAAAATTAGCAGAAAAGTTACATAGTGCACCTTTAAGAATTTGCTTAGACTGAGTGTAGTTCCATTTGTAAAATACAAAACAATGGTATTTTCCTTTAATAATATTACTACCAATTAAGTTTAAGTGGGAGGGGACAGACCAGACTCTGAGTGTAACAGGAAACATCTCTGTATGTTCTGTTCAAACTGACTCTTCTTCTGATTCCAGCATCTACAACATGGACCCACCTGGACCTGACCGTGGGTCTAAGCACAGACCTAAACCTGCTCCCAGCTCTCGGTCTCTGAAACATGATGATTCCAAAGACGTTCCTCCAAACTTTAGAGAAGATCCTCCTGAAGACCAGAGGTAAGGCTTTTGTAATCTGGACAGGGGCGACAGTAGCTCAGCTGGTAGAACATTAGGCCAGTGATCCCATGATTGGCAGACAGACTCCCAACAATGCACACTGTAGTTGTGTCCTCACGCACCATACATCACCTACAGACTATATGGCCAAAAGTATTCGCTCACTTGCATCGACTCACATATGAATTTAAATGATGCCTCATTCTTGTTCCGTAGGGTTTAATATGACGCTGGTCCAGCCTTAGCAGCTATAACAGCTTCTAGGAAAGCTGTCCACAAGGTTCAGGAGTGTGTTTATGGGAATTTTGACCCCTCTTCCAGAAGCACATTTGTGAGGTCACACACTGATGTTGGATGATAAGGCCTGGCTCGTAATCTTCGCTCTAATTCATCCCAAACGTGTTCTATCGGGGTGAGGTCAGGACTCTGTGCAGGCCAGTCAAGTTCATCCACACCAAACTCTCATCTATGTTTTTATGCACCTTACTTTGTGCACTGGTGCACAGTCATGTTGAAAGAAGAAGGGGCCATCTCCAAACTGTTCCCACAAAGTTGGGAGCATGGAATTGTCCAAAATCTCTTGGTGTGCTTGAAGCATTCAGAGTTCCTTGCACTGTAACTAAGGGGCCAAGCCCAGCTCCTGTAAAACAACCCCACACGGTAATACCCCCTCCACCAAACTACATTTGGCACAGTGCAGTCAGACAAAGTACCATTCTCCTGGCAACTGCCAAACCCAGACTCGTCATCAGATTGCTTCCACTTTGTTATGACCCCACTGACAGTTGACTGTGGAATATTTAACTGTGAGGAAATTTCAAGACTGGCCTTGTTGCACAGGTGTCATCCTATCACAATACCAAGCTGGAATTCACTGAGCTCCTGAGAGTTTCACAAATGTTTGTAGAAACAGTCTGCAAGCCTACGTGCTTGATTTTAAACACGTGTGGCCATGGAAGTGATTGGAACACCTGACTCACCTATAGTGGATCGGGGGAGCGCACCTGCACCACAACAAATATATGAACATTAATAACAGACCAATCAGGTGCCTTCTTTCATCAGAGTCACTCTCACTAGCCCCACAAGTTTGATTGACAGCGTTGCTAAGCACCCGTCCCCTCACAAACCAGCAGTGCGGGATTTTTTCCTGGTTAAATCAAAATAAATAAAATTTTAAAAGCACTGCTACCTTCAACACCACCGCTCTTGCTTGGCTCTTTGGTTGCTATGAAACACATGCTGAGAATTCCATATATGGTTCTGGCCTTCAGATTAGCCTTGATTGGATTCATTTGGCTGGAGCCAAACCCTCAGGTTGATGTCACATTCCCTCAGTACACTTCTTTATATAGTCGATGATACAGCCCCACTGTGGCGCAAATATAAGAAGGCCACACTGCAAAAGCTCAAAGTATCTTCTAATGATGTCCTCAGAATGCTGCTGAAAAAGTCCAGGGTCAGTAGTTCCAGTCTCCTGTTCTGTCAGGCTCATGTGAACTTTTCAGACTCTCATGACAAACCTGGTGTATAAATCCATCTGTGGCCTAAATGAGTCTGTGAACTCTGTGGTGGTGATGTTGGTGAGTGTCAGGTTTAGTTCTGTGCAGTAACACTGCTCTTTATGGAAACACTGATCTGTCTTTTATAACCCTGTTTTACTCTTGTCTCTGTCTTATTCTGTTCTTTTATGGACCATGAGTCTGGAATAAATAAATGATGATGAGTTTATTGTTTGACAGGGAGCCAGGCCCAAAGGAGCAGCTGGACGCCATATTCAGGGTGAGTACCCCACGAGCGCAGCATGTGTGGGGTTCTCTGGGTGCTCCTCAGGTGCTCTCTTTGACTAAAACTCTTCTCTTATTGTTCTGTTTCCAGCGTCTGGAGGAGGACGTCCTGACTTTTGTCAAAAAGAGCAGCTGCAGAGGCTCCACAGGCTCCTGGCCTCAGATTACCCAGAATGCTCTGAGAGTGAGGAGGAGGAGCAGAGCAGCAGAGAGGTTCTGAACATCACCCTGGACTTCCTGAGGAGGATGGACCAGGAGCAGCTGGCCCAGCGCCTGCAGAACAGTAAGAACTCTGTTACTGTCCATCTGAGGAACAGACCACACCAGACTTGACTTCACAGTAACAAAAGTCTACAGGTGTTTGAGGCTCACAGAAAGTACTATGACCCGTACATTAGGAGGGAGTTTTATCCACCTGAGGAACAGCTGTCCCTTCTTTATAGCTAATTTCAAGCTTGTTTTTTTTTAAACAAGAAACAACAGTCTTTCAAAATCAAAACAATCTGTTTATCCACAAATTGTATAAAATATTTCAATAATGTAGTAATAATCTACCATAATGTAGTGAGACATACACACACTGGTAATTCTAACTGCCCTTCATCAACAGTGTTGTGAAAGCCTAGCTTCTTACTACAGCTTTGTACACTTTGTTACAAGCATTTAATGACTTTTTGCAAGATGGATCATTATAAAAAATGTGAAAATTATAAACAGGTCCATTGCTTTCAATTAGCTGATGCGTCTTGTGCCTGGATGTGGCATCACACTTAATCCTATAGTTTCTTTAATTACTCACAACTCTGTGACACTGCTGTAAAGAAGTTTTCACAAATCAGAAGGAGCTTGAGTTGACAGTTCTTTATGTCTTTATTCAGGAAACACTGTTGGAGGTTGTAGAGATAAAATTAAGAAGCATCTTTCAGCAGAGGTTCAGTCGTGTGTGTTTGAGGGCGTGGCTAAAGCAGGAGACTCCGCCCCCCTGACCCAGATCTACACAGAGCTCCACATCACAGAGGGCGGAGCCTCAGAGGTCAACCAGGAACATGAGGTCAGACTCATGGAGACGGCGTCCAGGAGACCGGCCGCTCCAGAGACCATCACATGTGAAGAGCTCTTTAAACCCCGCCCACATTCACAAGAGCCAATCAGATTTGTGCTTGACGAAGGGCGTGGCCGGCGTGGGGAAAAACAGTGCTGACTCAGAAGTTCAGTCTGGACTGGGCTGAAGGCCGGGCCCACCAGGACCTCCAGCTGCTGTTCCCGTTCACTTTCAGAGAGCTCAATGTGCTCAGAGACACACAGTTCAGCCTGGTGGAGCTGCTGCATCCACTTCTTCAGTCCATCCAAACATCTCTGCAGCTTCCAACAGCTCCAGGTGCTCTTCATCTTTGACGGTCTGGACGAGTGTAGACTTCCTCTGGACTTCAGTCGAACCCAAGTCCTGAGCGACCCCACAGAGTCCACCTCAGTGCACGTGCTGCTGGTGAACCTCATCAGGGGGAGCCTGCTTCCCTCCGCTCTCCTCTGGATAACCACGCGCCCCGCCGCGGCCAATCAGATCCCTGCTGAGTGCGTCTCCATGGTGACAGAGGTCAGAGGGTTCACCAACCCACAGAAGGAGCAGTACTTCAGGAAGAGGTTCAGAGACCAGGCCACAGCCGTCATCTCCCACATCAAGAGCATCCGCAGCCTCCACATCATGAGCCACATGCCGATCTTCTGCTGGATCCTCTCCACAGTTCTACAGAAACTTCTGGAACAAACAAAGAGACCAGAGCTTCCCGGGACTCTCACACAGATGTACGTCCCACTTCCTGGTGGTGCAGGCCAAAGTCCAGAAAATCAAGTATCACCAGGGATCAGGGGAGGACCTTCACTGGACTCCAGAGACAGGGAGANCGCTCTCCTCTGGATAACCACGCGCCCCGCCGCGGCCAATCAGATCCCTGCTGAGTGCGTCTCCATGGTGACAGAGGTCAGAGGGTTCACCAACCCACAGAAGGAGCAGTACTTCAGGAAGAGGTTCAGAAATCAGGCCACAGCCGTCATCTCCCACATCAAGAGCATCCGCAGCCTCCACATCATGAGCCACATGCCGATCTTCTGCTGGATCCTCTCCACAGTTCTACAGAAACTTCTGGAACAAACAAAGAGACCAGAGCTTCCCGGGACTCTCACACAGATGTACGTCCACTTCCTGGTGGTGCAGGCCAAAGTCCAGAAAATCAAGTATCACCAGGGATCAGGGGTAGATCTTCACTGGACTCCAGAGACCAGGGAGATGGTGAAGTCTCTGGGAAAACTGGCCTTTGAGCAGCTGCAGAAAGGAAACCTGATCTTCTACGAGAGTGACCTGAGCGAGTGTGGGCTGGACGCTGCAGCGGCCTCAGTGTACTCCGGAGTGTTCACACAGGTCTTTAGAGAGGAGCCAGGCCTGTACCAGGACAAGGTCTACTGCTTCATCCATCTGAGTGTGCAGGAGTTTCTGGCTGCTCTTCACGTCCATCAGACCTTCTTCAGCTCTGGAGAGAACCTCCTGGAGGTCCACATGACGTCACATCTTCCAAAACTGTTTAAAAGAAAGACTAGACTGAGAAATCTCTACCACTCTGCTGTGGACCAGGCCTTACAGAGTCCAAACGGACACCTTGGACCTGTTCCTGCGCTTCCTCCTGGGACTGTCTCTGCCGACCAATCAGAGGCTGCTGCAGGGTCTGCTGACTCACACAGGAAGTGAAGAGACCAATCAGGAGACAGTAGAGTACATCAAAAAGAAGCTGGATGAAAAGGGTCTGTCTGTAGAGAGAAGTCTGAACCTGCTCCACTGTCTGAACGAACTGAACGACCAAAGTCTGGTGCAGCAGATACAGAGATACATGAGAGAAGGAGAGCTCTTCTGGTTAAGTTCTCCTGCTCAGTGGTCGGCTTTGTCCTTCCTCTTACTGTCCTCAGACTCAGACCTGGAGGAGTTTGATCTGAGGAAATACCAGCGCTCAGAGACAGCTCTCCTGGGTCTGCTGCCGGTGGTCAGAGCCTCCACCAAAGTCCTGTGAGTCCAGACTGTATTTAAACTCTTGTGTGGAGGTTCTAGTCTCTAATGTCCCTCTCTGTCCTCAGTCTTTGTGGCTGTGGTCTGTCTCCTCACAGCTGTGCTCCTCTGGCCTCAGTCCTCAGCTCCTCCAGTCTCACACATCTGGATCTCACTAACAACGACCTCCAGGACTCAGGAGTGGAGCTGCTGTGTTCTGGACTGAAGAGCGCCCCCTGCAGACTGGAGACTCTCAGGTGAGACGCTCCCATGATGCACTCTGCCCCCTTGTGTCCACATGAGTGTAATTCTGTGTCTTTAGGCTGTCTGGATGTCTGGTCTCAGAGAGGGGCGGGGCTGCTCTGGCCTCAGCTCTGAGCTCCGCCTCCTCCCACCTGAGAGAGTTAGACCTCAGCTACAACCATCCAGGACCCTCAGCAGAGCTCCTGACCGCTCTACGGGACGACCCCCACTGCCCCCTGCAGTCTCTCAGGTGAGGGTCCTGGTTCAGTGGGTCTCTGGTCCATGGTCGGTCCAGATCCTGGTCTCTGGTCTGGTCTAAACTGGACTTGTGTGTTTCAGGTTGGATCCTGCTGGAGAACAGTGGATGGTCCCAGGTCTGAGGAAGTGTGAGTCTCTGTATCTCATAATCTTTGTGATTTGAAGCAAACTTGTTAGTGGTGAACCATGCCCATGGGACGATGCCTTCAGACACTCATTAACCCCCATTAACGGATTAAACTACATCAAACGTCACTAGTTTGATGCTTAAATGTTTGTGAGTCACTTGCTTCATTCTTGCATCAAGGACACCTGAGTTTGGGAATTTGGTTTTGTGAGTAAATTCGCTATGTATACTACAAAGGATCAACTGCCAACCCCCGACCCCTGGGAGAGTTTGAAATCTGCTGAAATCCTCCAAGACAGTAACATGATTCAGACAGGACAGAGACTCTTTCTGCAGGAGACATGCACAGTGCAACAGCGCAAACGTACGTGACGTAGTCTGATAATCCCTCTATAACTGTGGTTGTGTTGTGCGTTTTCTGTTTCATTTGCATTATAATGCTCACCACAGTGTTATACTTCACCTCTGTTACCTTCATCAGACACATCGTCTATACAAAAATTAATCCCATTATTATTAGCTCAAATCAAAAGTCAAAATGAAAGCAAATTCTCATTTATTTTGTTTTATTTTAACTCAGCCAAAAGTTCAACACCGGTCAAACTAGCCATCAATAGATACAATCAGGTGCCAGCTGGTGGCCACGCCAGTAACTGCCAACCTGCGAGAGAAGACATGGGTGGGACTAAACCAATGCAATAACTTTGGCTTCTGCCTGTCAGTCAATCTGACTGGTCAGTTCTGAGAGAATTATTCTGTGTTGATCATGCTGATTCACTCAGTGTTCTGTACCTTGGAACGACAACAGGGATGAAAACATGCTGTCTATCTATGGTTCTATAAAAGAGACATGTTATTTTGTACTTTGAAATGTTACAAAGCAGAAAACTACTGGATGTGGACTCCGTGGCATGTACCCACCCATGATAAAGTGTACCGGGTCAGCATTATTGTAAATTTTCTTGCTGTATACGCTAAATCAACAAGTTAATGTTCGGTCAGATGGCTAGTATAAAACTACCTCACTTTCCGGGTTTTGTCAGAGGCGTCGTCCCGGGGTGACAGTTGTACTTGGTAATCAACTTGAATCTCCGTGACCTGCTAATACTAATAATAAAGTGGCCTATACTCGGACCCTTCCATCTTTTGAGCTTTTTTCCTAGGACACGCGCTAAATTCTTCCGAAAAGCCCACAGTTCCAACACTAGGGCCCCTGCTCGCTGGCTGCAGGCAAAGAGAATGGGAGCAGTTCATTATTATCATTATAAATGTTTTATATTGCAATGTTAGAAGTCCCTGATCGTTCCCCTCTGATAGACTTGAAACAAACACGTTGAGGATGTTTTTTCATATACATTTTTACAGCTTTCAACATTAAGAAAACGAAGAACTAGTGAGATACTCTGGAACAGGAAGTGACGTCATGTGTTTGTGTCCTCAGATTCCTCTGAGTTTTCTCTGGATCCAAACACAGCTCACAGAGAACTCAAACTGTCTGAGGACAAACGGACAGTGACCCGTGTGACAGAGAAGCAGCAGTATGCAGATCATGAGGACAGATTTACGGACTACCATCAGGTCCTGAGCTGCACTGGCCTGAGGGGGCGCTGTTACTGGGAGGTGCAGTGGAGAAGGTCGGCTCAAATAGCAGTGAGTTACAGAGGAATCAGACGGAGAGGAGAGAGACGGGAGTGTAGGTTTGGAGGCAACGATCAGTCCTGGAGTCTGAGGGTCTTTAATGGACATTACTGTTTCTATCACAACAACAGCGAAACAGACCTCCTCTTCTCCTCTGCCTCCTCCTCCTCGTCCTTCCGGGTCTCAGGTCGAGTGTCTGTGTTCCTGGACTCTGAGGCTGGATCTCTGTCCTTCTTTGAGGTCAGCTCGGAAGGAGAACTGCGCCACCTCCACACCACCAGCTCCTCCTTCACCGAGCCTCTGTTTCCTGGGGTTGGAATATGGGATGAAGGTGACTCTGTGTCAGTGGTGGATCTGAGGAGAGTGCCTCAGAACGATCCTCTGTGAATCTTTTATTATTTAAATGTGTGTGTTTTTTTTCACCCTACACATCAGATAAAATGTGAACTGAGCTTCAAAAAACTCTGAGTGGGAAGTCAAATACAAGTATGACTCAGAAATAGCTCTCATTACAGTCAAGTACATTCACTTTGCTCATACTTCTGATACACCACTTGCGCCTCTTGTGGTGACAAATGTGCACTTTCCTTAAACTACGCGCAGGTTAAATCTTTGGTAGGAATAGGAGTTAGTAGCCTGATTCATCAGCCGGTTTCACTTCGGGGAAACTGTCTGACCTCGCAGCATTAGGGTTCGTTTGCTCGACGGTAGGCGGGTACTTTTTTTATTTAACCAATCGCTGCTGTTTGGTCGTGATGTATATAATGTAGGGGTGTCAAATTATTGCGTTAATTGCGATGAATTAATTACAGTCATATTTAGCGTGTTTTTTAATCGCGTTAATCAAATTTTTAATCTCTAACTTTACTGTTTCTGTACGTGAGTTGTCTTATTATAAAATCTGGTTTTATGTGTTGTTGGGACGACAACACATCGCTCCCGCAAAGAATTGTAATTTTCATTCCCGTTCTCGCCTCATCTGTGATAAACCTGCACATGTCTGATCTGAAAACATCACGACACAGACACAGAACAGACTCACCATCAGCAGAACATTCCTCTATTCCACAGAGTCGTGTCCTTTAGTCCCACAGAAGTTTAACCGCATCAGCGACACAAGAGCGTTTTTGTTTTTTCTTAGTTTATGCAAATGAGTCATGTGGTTTTAAGTTTCTTTTCTGTAAGACTTGTACAAATCTGCATTAAACACATTATAATGTCAAACAGCTGATGTGGCTCTAGAGTCATTATATTTATATGTTGTAAAGTTGAGTTTATTTCTGCAGATTAGTAACAGTAATAATAATGATGATAAAAGTTTGAAGTTTATTGTTTTGTTTTTTTTATACTATGAACCAGATATCATGTGTTCTTAATAAAGATTGAATTGAATTGAATTAAAGTTTGTTAAACAATAAATTACTTTATAAAGTCACTTTTTGTTCTATATGAGTCTTTTGATCTGCCACAATAAAGTAATAATGAACTTAAATGAAAATACCTCAAGTTGAAGCTTTTCTCAGCAATTTTTAGGTGAGATTAAAAAAGAGATTAATTAAATACAGATCATAATTAACTAATCTCTCGATTTTTTTTTTATCTCTTGACAGCACTGATATAATGCACCACTAACGGGGTTAACTGGTATATTAAGCTTTTCCCAATTCCTGTAGGAAGAAGAACAATAACGTCTTTCTCCTTGGCAAAATTCACCAAACATTCTCTTTGTTCCGGCTTTAAATCCTCGATCTCGGGAATCGTTGCCAACACAGAATGTCTGGCTCTTCTCTGATTGGCTGGTGCCCGACTCACACTTCCAGGGTTCTGGCAAATCGTCTAGTGTGTTTATGATTCCTGATCTAGTCACTGGAGAAAAATGAAACTGAGTGAAGGCACTAGGTGGCACCAGCCTGGCTAAGGAATCAGTGGCTGGTAATTAAAAAAAAAAATTAAAATAAATAAAAAAATAACAGCATTTTATAATAAATATCTATTTGGGGATCAACCTCAGAACAGCGTCACAGAACTGTTGTTATAAGGTTCCTTGTATAAAAGTGCATATTGCAGTTTGGTGGGATAGTATCTGTGGTAAATATTTAGTATAATTTTACATAAAATGACATGGAATTACTTAAGGAAACTTTAATCTTACCTTAACTTTTTGTTTGTATTGGTGTTTATTTGGGTTCCTCTTCATGCAAAGCAATAGTACAGATCGGGCAGGGATACAGGATTAACAAAAAAAAAAAAAAAAAATTTAAGGGAAAACCTCATTACTTGATAACCAATAACTTTACATGTGGGTCTGGTCAAGTGGTAACGGAGGGAAACAGGGTCAGATTTTTGACATTCAAATGTCTCTTATTCAGAAACTAGAGGAACTATTGAAATAAGTAAAGTATCAGAATGTAGGAAAGAGTTACACTCCAACAGGGTCAAGTTAAACCTGTGATATTCTTTCAAGTTGTTGACAAAAAAAATAAAAAACTCATGTTGGTAACGGAGGAAATGAAATATGCAGCACTTTTTGGTCAATAAATCCAAACAGTGATAACTCTTGGTTCTCACTTACATATCCTTAACAAACTGGTTTGAATATTTGCTTCATATAGTTTTCTACCATATGGTACAAGATTAGGTTGAAAAACCTCTTACTTTTTGACTCATGAGATTTTTTATTAAGAAAGGTCATGGTAACGGAGGGAAAAGTAACGGAGGGAAAATTGTACAAACAAGTAGAAGGTGCAGGATTTTACATCATTTGTCGCTTTTTTCTTCTGAATACTTTAATATTACTTCAAAATGAAAGGAAACTATTTCTATAAAATATGTCAGTCCTTCCAAGAACATTTTTATCATTTGAAATACTTTTTTTTTTTTTTTTTCAATCATGTACCTTCCTCAACAGTTCAAAGATGGAATAACACAAGATATGATGAAATACAAACATTTATTTACATGATTTGCAGGTCTTTGAAATTTGGGAAATAATTTTTGTTCCATGTTTCATACATGGTCTGTTTAAAACATATGGAACTTTAGAACCAAAAATGGTTCAGAAAAAAGGTCAACAGTTTCATAAACTAGAGCACATATGTATCTGTTCAATACATTTTTATATCAGATGAATTCACTTGAGTTTTTGGCCTTATTGTTTACTTCTGCTTGACCGGGACCATATATACATTATTTCTAGAAACAGATGTTTACTAAAGACTATAACCCTGAGTTGATCTCAAATACAGGTTCACAATAAGGAGAAATTAACCTTAACAGCTCCCTTTCAAATTTGTATTTCTAATGATCTCATAAATAGACCAGCTGGATCAGTGTGAAGAGAAGTTGAAGTACTTCTGTGTAAATAACAGAACGTACCCTGAGCTTTGGTTTGTACAGAT